CCAGGAATAAACTGCCTGACAGAAAGGCCTCAGAGCAGAGGGTGGCCTCCCAGCAGCTGTGCTGTCTCAAGGACCACAGGGGAGGAGCAGAGTTGCAGAGAAACAGGAAGGAAATTGTGAAGACAACTTCAGACCCAAGAGTCAGAAGCACAGACGTCTGGCCCCCGCAGAAAGCTGGCTGGTGTGGAGTAGGGATCTTTACGGGAGGCTGGGGCACCAGGAGGACACTGACTGAAGAAGAACACCAGGCCCTCCAGGGGTTGGCTCAGGACCTCCTCAGTCCTCTCTATCACGGCCTATCCATCCTATCTTCCCAGAAAGAGAGTCTTCCTCCCTTGTGAAAACCCCTAGTAAATAAACCATTTGGTTCACCTGTTACTGGTATGTGGCCTCCACTTGCCAGTTCAAAGATCTTTAAGGAAATGCCTTCTCAGTGCTTGGCACAAGACTGCAGCGGTGGCTCATTCACCCCACCCTCACCAACCCACCCCACCCAACTTCCAGCTCCTTCAGGCCCAAACAACCTCCAGGAGAACACAGCAGCTAAACCCCTGCCCACTCATTTTCTTCACAGATTGCTGTCTGCCACCCTGACCCTAGGGGGGGGGGGGATTCAGTCACAGGGCGTCCCGGCACCAACCACACTTAAGCTGCAGGGCAGGGGCACCTCTTGGAAAGAGGTGAAGGTCAGACAGCATTTTCAAGCAGACACATGGTTCAGCCAGCTGGAGTCCCCCCACACCCTGCACATTCCTTATTGGAGAAAACGGCATCTGATCTCCACTCTGTTCCCACCGGGACGCTTGGCTTGCTGGCAGCATGCATGATGCTCTGGGAATCCCAGGTATGCAAGATCTGGGAAGGCTCATGGCATGAAGCAGACCAGCCGCGCACGGTTCCCCACCAACAGTCAGGACATTTCTTCCCTCAGGCCTGCCCCCCACCCCCATAGTGTGCTTCCCCATTTCTCTCTTCTTGGGAGAGGCTCCTATACCAGAGGCGCAGAGGGTAAGGTTTCCTTTGGCCAAGGTGGAGTGGGTAGAGGCCAGTCTTCCACATTGTCCCGGTAACTTACTCAACTGGGTCTACTAGAGGGTGAGGAGGGTCCCTGTTGGCAGTCCCCATGCTGATCCCATTTAGACAATTTCAAACATTTACCATTTCAACCTAACATGTCCTCTGTTCCACCGGGTCTTAGTAAATGTCATTGATGTTCCATTACACACACACAGCCCCACCTTGACTTTGACAAAGAATGTGTTGGAGAAGTCAAATGAGTGAATATACGCATTTAATAAATGAGCATGAAGCTCCCCTTCGTCTGAGAAAACAGGGGGACCCCCATGTGAGAGAGGACAAGGCATGTGACATGATCTGCCTTTGTTTCTCCACTCTCTTGGGGTTCTCATGAGTCACCAGCAGAAAAGGCTGGAATGGGGAGGCCCCCATCACCACTGGGGGCCAATGAAAAGCCACATCTTCCTCCTCAAGGACTTAGGGCACAGATTTGAACATGTGTACAGAACTCCCCAGAAGGTCTAGAAGTCATGAATAGCTTGTAATGGCAGATAACCAAAAGGTATTGTTGCTACAATTTCGCTCTAGTGTCCTCTCAGGAAGGATTTCCCAGATTCCAGTACATAAGCATCTGGAAATGGGACTAGGGAATTTAACTTTTTCAGCAGTTATCAAGATTTGTATTGTCGACCCCCAAAGGTCCAGCCAGGATACCTTCCTTCTTTCACCTACATAAGAACCCCAACTCTGAGGTTTGGTTCCTATGTTGCATCCATTCCTTTCCTATAACCCGTCCTGGAATAGGACCCCTTCGGGGGGACTCCCCCTTGCACATCAGAAGGCCAGTCCTCATCCCAATGAAAATGCCATTGAAGTCATCTAAACTCCTGCTCCCCCTTCACGCCCACAGCACCTCACGTGGAAACTGGATAGGCACATACATGCCTTCCTCCTCTGAAAATGTGCTTCCCTTCTCCTGCCACAGTCTGCTATAGCTCACAAACTGATGGAGAAATGTCAGAGCCTTTAACTAGTCAAAAAATGCTTTACTTTCAGTAGAATTGGTTGATTTAGTTCAACTACTTCATTAGTCTCAGGGGAGGACAGAGAATCCACCAGAAGGAGCTGTCACAGTGTGGCAGGAGCAACCTAGTCGTCCCACCTGAAACTCATCGCTGAGGGCTGTAGTTCATCACCTGAACGGCAGGTCCACCTGATGGGTCAGGTGGAGCAGGGCACTGCCAGACACCATGGAAGGAATGTTCAACGTGAGATTTTTGTGAGCTACTGATAATATTTGTTGTTCAAGAACATGTAATGCACTTGAAAAGATGTTCTACTTCTTCATCATTAGAGAAAGCCAAGTCAAAGCCATAAAGAGCCACCACTTCATACTAACTAGGGTGTCTCTAATTTAAAAGGAAAATAATAGTGTTGGTGAGGATGTAGAAGAATTGGCACTCTCATACATTGCTGCTGAGAGTGTGAAAAGGGGCAACCTCTCTGGAAAGTAGTTTGCAGTAATTCTAAGACTTAAAAGTCAGCCTAGCACCCAGCAGCTCCATTCCTAGAATTGATAACAGGTATTCCATCAAGTGTTTGTAGATTATGTTTAAAGTGAACTATTATACATAACGGTGCAAAGGCAAAGCAACCTAAATGTCTATCAAGGGACAAACGAACAAATCACAGCGTGGTCAACAGTGAAAAGGAATGAAGTACTGATACATGTTACAACGGGGAGGGACTTCAAAAACACCTTCCTAAATGAAATGAGCAACACAAAAGATTACAGCTCGAAACCCAGAAAAAGTCAATCTATACTAGTCCCTTTTTATCCAGGGACATTTGTTTTGTCCCAACTTCTGTGACCGGCTGCAAGAAAGGAAGGCGGGAGGCAGAAAGGCTGAGCAAGCAGAGTTTATTGCTCCCAGACAGCAGCTGAGACGGAGCCCCTAGAGTGGGGTCCGCAGCTACTGCCAACTCAATAAGGGGGGAAGGGTCTCTTATATAGATTCTAGGTTCACATTCCAAAGGGGTGACTCATCACTGATACTAGGCCCAGTTCCTCCCACCTGTATCTCCCGGGATGCTAGGCCCAGTTAATTATCAAACTTGGATGTGAGGCCCAGTTTGTTATCACCTTCAGCTAGTCCCATCCCGGATGCCAGGTCAGTTAATTACCACTTTATCAAGCTTGGATGCAGGGTTCAATTCTTTACCGCCCTAACTCAGTCCTTGTCAGTAAATCTTTGCTCACTCCCAACATTCCCTACTTTTTCTTTAGTTATTAGGAAAAGGGATGTGGTTTTGAGGGTAGAAGGTTGGGGACCTGTTCCAATACTTCCCACAGAAGCGCTATAAGCATGGTGAATGTACTAAATGCCACTGAATTGTTCACTTTAAAGTGGTGAATTTTATGTAAATTTCACCTCCACAAAAAGGAATCTTGACACATAGAAGGGAAACAGTCACAGGCAGGTTCAGCAGCTGCGTGCTCTCTGAGAGCCTTGGCAGGCAGAACGGCTCCAGCTCCTATGGCTACCTGACAGACACCGGCTCTGACCCTGCGACTTCAGTCCTCCCGGCCATCAGTGCTGCTACAGGGGAAAACAGACTTTCTTAGTCTCAGAGGCTAAGCTCACGCCTATGCATTTCTAACTGCTTAAGTTTATTAACACAGAAAGGTAAATACCTGGTCACAAACCCCAGCTTTGAGCCATTAAGAAGGTTTCTGAGTATATAAGACCCATTAATGTTTGAAGCTGTTTCTACCTAGAAGTTTCAGCTTCATTTTAAACAAAAAACAGAAGGAAACAGTGATAATCTACCCTTTGTTCTAATTTGAAATATGAATAATTAACTTTTGGGGGGTACCCAGAAGTTTAAAAGCCATTCAAGCCAATAAACATCTAATTTAAAAATAGATTAGCACTGCTGGCACAAACTGCCCCCCCCCAACTTATTGTGGTAGCGATTCCCATGAAATCCTTCATACCTCAGCTAGCCTATGGGAGCGTTGTATCCTTAAGCTCTGCTTTCAGGCACTTCAATGCTGGAGAATACTGATATTTATGGGGTTTATGGTATGGGTGAAAGACATTAAAAGTTCACGTTTTGCTCCATCAAATTTTGTTATCCAAAATGGTATTATTACAGATTTTACATTCTAAAAGTCGGTTTCTCCCAGGTTAAAACCACTAATCCTTAGCCATCGTTAGGGTTTATATAGAGAGACAGTCTTTACTACTGTGTCCGACTTCACAAAGACTTCTATCAGAGAAGCTGACGTCCAGACAGTGCGACTCCAGCACATAGCACCACAGAAAGGCACATCCTCGTAGACCTCTCCAGGGAAATCTGGTTCCTAAAGTATCCTGAGAAATTTTTTCTCCAGTGTCACCATCAGGAGGCTTGGGATATCCATATGCTGGTAAATGCCAGTGCAAAGGCTTCCTGATTGACTTTCTTTCCAAATGAAAGAAAGAAGAGGGTCAGAAAGGAAGAAGGAAGAGAGAGAGAGGAAAGGGAAGAAGAGGAAGAAATAATAAAGAAATCAGAAGAGCAATCTCCTTTCTCTGCCCCAGAAGCAATTCAGTTTGGAAACAGAAAGGGCCGAGCTAACCATTAACAAACCCTGCATGTTGGCCTTTGACAGCACAGGGCAGTGACATGAGCTGGCTCTCAGAAACCTGCCAGCTGGGTCCAAAACCCAACCTCACCGTGTAGAAGTAATGTGACCATGAATAAGTTAATCAGCCTCTCTGAGTCTCTGTTTCTTCACCCACCAATAGGACTGATCCCACAGGCCTGGAGAAGAAGTTCTAAACGAAAGACCTGGCTTTAAAAAGACAGACTGTGTCCATGCCAGCCTTTGGCACTTTGCCCCTTCTGGCCCAAGGGGCTAACAACCTAACCTGGAAGATTTGTTACTGATGTTGATGCCGTACCAGGGAAAGCAAGAGGTAGCCACTGGTATTAGATTTTTTATTAAAAAAAAGCAAATTAAATAAAATAGTGGTCAATCCCATATAAAACTGAACTGGCATCCAAAGTTCATGGTGGGGAAGGCTCAGAGGACCGAGAGGAGGAGGTGGTTACAGCAGTTTCTTTTTCTTCATAGCCGGGAGGCAATTCAGATGAGACGTGTGCAGGCTGTGAGATTTCAGAAAATGAAGTTGGTCCAGAAATAGTATAGATAGGTTCTTGATCTCTCGCAGAGGCTGCCCCTTGGCCCTCAGGAGTTGGGGTCCTGCTGAGGGAGAGAGTGACACACACACACCCCGTAAATATGAGGCTCTTCACAAGTGGCAAACTGGATGCATTTAGGAGCATCTGCAAAAAGTGAAGGGGCACTTCTTTCCTGGTCTGTTTGTTACACAGAACTTGTCAGTTCCCCAGCCCTTATATTAACAGTCTCTTCCTGTTGTCATTTCCCTGTTGACTGAAATGACATGTACAAATGCATAGATGGCATCCAGAAGGAACACACACAGGGCCTTTGCTCTCCTCTACTGTCTTCTGAGAGCTAAATAGGCAGGTAAGCTTATGCAAATAGGAAACTCAATCATTAAGCCAAAACCTAAAGGGAGGCAGGAGGGCATTCTGGCTAATGGTGTGGACTCTGGCAAAAGGCACACCTGCATCTGAATTTCCACTCTACTGCCTTCTTGCTGTGTGATCACAGACACGTGATTTAACTTCCTTAAAGCTCTGTCCTTATCTGTAAAATGGGGATAATAGCAGCACCTGCCCCTCACCCCCAGCAGCTATGAGAATTATAGAGGTAACTCAAGAAAAGCCAGCTTGGCACACAAACCCAAACAGCAGCAGTAGGAGTAGCTTTTAAGTGACTGGACATCTTTTGGAAGATTTGAGGAAACCCATCTTAGGAGTAATGAATACAAAAACCCACTAAGAGCTGTACAAACATCCAGAGCCTAACCTCCCTTTCATCCATGCTGGGCAATTCCTATGTCTGCCTCTGGTTGGAGCTCTAGCACCCAGTCCTGGAAACCAGCGCCCATGCCTATAACACAGGAGCCAGCCCAGCGAGTCCAGTGTCTCTTGGGCCTTGCATCTCACTGCTTTCAAATACACCCATCTCAGTGTCTCTACACGCCATATCCACTGACCCCCACTCACCCCTCCCACTTTGCCTATGAAATTTCTATTATTTCTTCCTTTACCTCCTACGTACGCTCTGGTTCCCCATTAGAGAAAGTACCAGAGCCTCTTTCCACCGCTTGCTCCTCCCTGGCACCTGCCAGAACTGCTTCCCAGCAATCCTTTCCTTGTGAGGATTCTCCACAGAGACTGCCCTGCTCACAGGCCCACAAGCACCTCATCTCTCTCCGGAGATCCAGCCCCCCAGTACACCTCCAAGACCCTCACCTCGCTCTCCCTCTAGGGCAGGCCAGCCTCTCCCCCTCCACAGTCAGGGCATCCGGCCACTCCCCCTGACTGCCTGGCCTCTCACTCTCACTGTCATCCTCCAGTCTAGAGTCCCTGCAGGTGTGCCTCCCCTTTCTTGCTACCTGGTTCCGGCTACTCTTACTGCAGGACTGTCCCTGAGCGGTTCAAATGGAAAGTCTTACCCATCGCTAAAAATGCTGTAATACGACGGTGGATTTTCATTGGGAAACACAGCCTGAGTTCCCGCAGATGCTGTAGACTCGGGAAAGTAAGGCGGTGGGGGTGGCGGGAATATGATCACAGCATCACCTGGGGAAACACACGTTTCATTGAAGACAGATGACCAATAAATGCCAGCAGATTAGCAAAACTAAAGTAAATTAATTCTATATTTGGCCCATCGATATAAAAGGTCAGCACCCGCTGCTAATGCCAGGATTTTTAATGGGTTTATCGAACTAACAGAGACAGCAGGGGGTAGCTGTCTGCAGTGGCTGGGGTGGGCATGGAGTTACTATTTAATGCGGGGTGCAGGGTTTCTGTTTGGGATGATGAAAAAGTACCAGAACTGGATGGCTGAAGTTACTTAAAGTCACCTACACGTTTTAAAATGATGCAATGGTCAGTATGATGTATATATATATGTATATATGTATATATGTATATATATATGTATATATATATATGTATTGCTACAAAATTTTTAGGTGGGCTTACGTTTTCAAAGCGAGATGGAAGCATTTGCTAATAAGCTTCCTTATCTTCTCTGGGACCTCTATCGCTGATAAAACTTTTCTGATTTTCAACTTATAATTTTAATTCATCCACAGCTAGCTGTGGGGTTAAAGTGCCTCTTTCCACAAGTGCAGTTTCAGTCCTGGATTGCACCAGGCTGCCGCTGCTCCAGCCCAGACTGTCCAGACTCGTGTGCTGCTTTTTCTGTTGCTACTGTTCACCCCTCACCTTGGGGAGACAGGGGCCCAAGGCACCAGCTACAACTCTAATTTGTACTCTCCTTCCAATCCAAAACACACCACAGGCACCAGAACATTTAGGCACGTGGCAGCACTCTGTGTACAGGTCTCAAACCTCAAGGTGGCTTCGATAAACTGGCAGCAGTACACAGTGCCAGGGAAACGTATGGGAGAGGATTTACTCCCTGCAGAGAGGTGACTGGTTCCCACGGGTGGCGGATTGCCAGGTTCCCAGTGAGAACAGGACTCTAAAGAAAGCTACCAGCTTCCACTGGCCAATTACCAACCTTGTGTGGCCTTGGACAAAGTATGTGACCCTCTAGGTATCAGCAGCCTCAGCGGCAAACAATAGGCCCCAGCTCTACCTGCCTCACACAGGTAGGAGGCTGGCAGGAGGTCTGGCATGGTGTGCAGGGGCACCCCCCAAACTCCCCAGCTATAACACTCATGACAGGCCACAGCCAGGTGCCACTTACTTATCACCCCCACTGGCAGGCTGGCCAATGGGTCCACTCTCCACCTGCGTCCTCAACCACTTCCCCAGAAACTGAGCCCTTCAGAGAATTGCACTTCATCTCTTCTGCTAGGAGAGGATTATTTGAGCTTAAAATATACATGGCTAGCCTAAAAGTGACAAAAGCTCACAGTTGTCTGCGGTCCTCACCAAATGTTTAAAGGTCTTGGTAAGCCAGAGGAGAGAAGCTGACTGTTTGCTGTAATTACACTGGAGAATGCACTCTGGAAGTCCACTCGGTGGTCAAGCACTCGGGAGGCCCCAAGCTGCAGCTGCCTTGGCTTGTCCATCCCCTGACCATTCTGCTCCCTGCCTTCCCATACCTGTAACCTGCTTTCCCCGGAAAGGGGACTTAGAGCCCTGTGAGTTTCCTCTTTCACTGTGTCCTTGGGACACGATGTCCTCTGTCCTCTGCCTCCAGGAAATGGCTGTCTCATGAACGTGCTGGAGTATCCAGGAGACCCCACTGAATCTGCCCCCAACTGCAATATCCTGCCTTTCCATGCATCGATCCGGGGGAAGGGGGCTTCCATGGTTGGGGCAGCTGAATTCTGTGACCTAGCCAGGAACTTCCTCTTGTCACCCCAATGTCCCTCATAAGGCAGAAATGACTGTCAATAGACAATGTCTGGAGCCTTATCAACAGTGCTAAAAGAAAGCATGATTTCCAACATCAAAGGAGAAGACAAGCAGGAGTCAGGGTGCCCAGTTTTCACTGTTTGGTGGCACGTAAAGGATAAGTGGAAAAGATTTCAAGCCATGCAGAGCCCACCCACATCAGGACAGAACCACCCAGGAGTGGCCCAGCCTGCTCCTATCTCCATTACCCCGTGGAAGGCTGGGCCCCCAAACACCCCTGGTAGTTCACCCAACACGTTGGTAGGTTCCTCACAATGTGAAACTCTGAGCATCCTGTGAGTGCATTTACCGTGAACATCTATAGCATCTGCCTGCACTAGGTGAGCCCTTCTATCATGTTCCAGCTCCCACAATACCTAGTGAAGGCTGAGGCCAGCAGAGACAGAGTTAGACCCACGTCCTGGGAGGGTGCTCTGTGAGGCCACTGTGGGCCTGCAGCCAGCCCTCCACGAGCAGTCTGTGGCCTGAGACACGTCGTTTGAGGTCCCTCTCCTGCTTCCTCTCTGACATGGAGACACTAAGCCTGTCTGTCCCAGGGACATGTAGGAGGTGTGCATGGAGTTCATGCAGGAGGTTTCACTCTGCCATCATCATCACTGTGGCTCTCTCTAGGCTTTATCCCTTCAAAAACAAGGTGCCCAAACCAGGGGTTTACAAAAATGAGCAGCAACAGGGATTTCCCTTGGTTGTGTGAAACTGAGGCCAAAGTTACTGATGTTCTCAGGGGCAGGGGAGGCTGACTCTGGAAAAGGGAAACTCAGCTCTCCTGTAGAACCTGGACCCCAAAGGAATTCCTAGTCATTCCCTGGGGGAAAGAAGTGACAGTAGTGTTGCCTTTCACCTTGGTCTACACCACGGCTTTGCCCCAACCCTGAAGGCAGGTTACAGAAAGTAAAGAACAATATGTCAGGCAGGGCAGAGGGCCCCTCACAACAGAGGCCAGTGGACTGGGGACTGACTTGGAATCTTGGAATGCCCGTGCTGGAAAGAGTCCTAGAAATGCAATGCTAAGTTATAGATGCACAGACTAAGGCCAGGAAGGGCTAAGGACTAACCGAGGACGGCCAGTGACAGCCTGGGATGACAGCCCAGGTGTCAACAACACAAAGTGCCGTAAGATTTCAGTGTGAGAGTAATAGGGAAACAGGGTCACTGGCAGGCCCCTGAGGTGAGACAGGGCTCCGAGGCTGTCCTCGGATCCATCTCACTTTCCTCTGAATGTGTTTTGTGATCTGAGTCAAAGTGGCTGTTTAATATTGCAGTGTTTTAGCTAATAAAGGAATTGCTTGGGGAAGTGGGGTGGTGATATGTACAAGGATTCCTATGGACCTAACTTACCACAGCAGTGTGTGTGTGTGTGAGAGAGAGAAGAGAGTCTATGACACACCCATGCGCAGCCCAGTGAAGCTTTGATGCTGCAGCCCCTGAGATATAAGCAAGCACAGAAGTGACACCACCAGGGATCTTCCTGGTGGCGCAGTGGGTTGGAGCACTGCACCGTGAAGCTAAGCCATGCTGTGGCTGCTTCAGTGCAAGTTCGATCCCAGCCCCAGAGGTGACCCACATGGCATGGCAGACCTCTCCTGACCTGCCCACTGCTCCCCTTGGCAGTGTACTTTGTCAATCTGCCTATTCTGCTCCCCACTGTGTCTCTGGTGAACCCTCTCACTGCCCCTGAACCTCTGGCCTATACCCCAGTTCTGTATGCATAAATAAATAAATCTTTAAAAAAAAAAAAAATGATGCCACCAACCTACAGTGACCTGAACAGGTTCCATGTTCTGGTTCTGTCTCTCCTCACTCTCAGAGGTGTCCTGGCCCACATTCAAGTTGTTTCTCTTTTTAACATGGGCAACCACGAAGAAACACAATCCCAGAAGCACAATCAAGGGTCCCATGATCTGCAGGGACAAGAAGCCACAGATCTGGGGCCGCGACTCTGCAGTGTCTGTGTCGTTGAGTGGTTCCTGCGCCCAGGCTGAACCACACCCCGGGACCCAGATGCCCAGTATGCTGATAAGCATGCCGCTTGTCAAGAACAGAAAGCCGAAGATGAGACACTGGGCAAACTGGCGGCTCTCTCCACAGATGAAGGCTTGGTCAGGGTCCACCTGGGCGCCTCGCCGCTGCCTCTCCCGGAGCTGAAGCCGCGCCCTGGAGCGGGCCAGGATCACGGCCCCGAGGCCCACCACAGCACACGAGGGCCCAGCCACCTTCAGCACCATGCTGCAGTCCGGGAGGGTTTCGTACTGGCATGCCTGGAAGCCAAAGAGGGAGAGCAGCACTCCCACACACAACAGGATGGCACCAAAGACGAAAAGGAAGAAAATGAGCTTGCTGATGTGCCTGTCTTGCCGGACCTCATCTGGCTCAGCTGCGGCTGCGGGAGACATGGCCAGAAGGGGGCGCTGCACGGAGGCCTGGTGGGACGCACTTCCTTCCCTCCAGGGGTTTCACCAGCTCTGCCAACACAGCCAAACACCGTATTAAAGTGGGTTTAATGTGGGTACAGGTGTTCCGGACCCACCCTGTTCTTTTCTGGCCACTTCAGAAATCTTGCTAGGTGAAATCACAGGGAAGCGAACTTGATGCAATGGATGCACTGCAGAACAATGAGCTGGCTTATGACTCAGACGCACTGACATTCAGAAACTCCTGAATATGTCATTTTATGAAGATATCCAAGAGGAAATGCAATTACCATCCACCTAAGAGTATCTTCAAAAACAAGACCCATAGAACAAAACTAACTGAGTATGGCTTTTCCTGTTATGAGTCTGACCAACTCGCTTCCCCCCCAGCAAAAAAAAAAAAAATAAGAAAAAGAAAAACAGTGGCTAATGAGAGCAGAATCATGGGGATTATTTCTGATTTATTTACAGATATCCCACATTTCAGCTTCTCTGAGTAGTCCCAAATTGGTAAATCTTTGCACGAGAGTTAACTTTCCATTTCCTGTTTCATTAGACTGTGGCCACTTTCCTTTCCACACGAAGGCCACATCTACAGGAGACCTAATTCATCGGTTTCAACCAAATGGGAAGTCATTGAGGAACACAATGAGTTTGGTGGATTTTCAATTAATTCTGTCAAAATGTAGTTCTTGAGTTCTCAAACAAGCATATTCTGGGGTTGCCATGGCCTGAAATCTGATGGCCCCGCTGCTTGAGCGTGGGGTGCCCTAGGGGAGTCTGGCTGAGCAGGTAAGGAGACCTGTCTCTAAGATGCGGGTTCCCAGGTCTGCAGACCCCCCTTTCTCTCTTCTGTGGTGCTACCCACTTCCACAAACAGGTCTAGGTGCAGTTAAAAATAGGCTGTCGGTGGCCCTCCCTGGTGGCGCAGCGGGTTAAAGCACTGCACTGAGGGGCTGAGGCCACTTCTGCATGAGTTCGATTCCCGCCTGCCCCGGAGGTGATAGAATCACCAGTTAAAAACACTAACCAGTAACAAAACTGGACTGATTAAAAAGTATAAACAAAATGAGGTAGGAAATCCCCTATCACAAGATCGCCCAAGTCCTGTACTTCAAGGATGTACAACAGATGTTAAAGAGCTGTCTACTGCATACTGGCTGTTTTCCTATTCGACTGAGATATTTTGCTGGACCCTTCAAAGGGGGACACTGAGAAAAATCAACCCAAGTATGAAGACCGTTTTCACTTGCTCAAGGGGAGAAAAGTTAAAATATTTTGAGTCACTCACAACCATGGTGACATGAAGGAGCTCAAGACAGACTCTAAAGTCAAGGCTATTTTGACGAAACCAAATCAGGTCCAAAGGGTTCAGGTTAGGTAAAGAAGGCACACTTCCTGTCTTATACTAGGAAGTACTTTTCCAGGAAAAAGTACAATAGAATCAGAAGGAAAAGAAGGAAATAAATTTTCATTTTAAACTTGGACATAGTATATTTATGAAGCTACAATTGAGCTGAGACAAAGCACTGTACTAATTTAGAAGAAAATGGGAATCATTAATCCCTTTCGCTGGTTTCAGAGATAAGGTGGACTCCGCTACGCAATCCTATCGGGAATTCATTGTATTCCTGGTATTGCTTCAACTTTGAAGTAAGTCATAAGACTTCAAATGTCTTAAACAAAGGTCCAAATACCAGTAGAATTAAAAAAAAAAAAAAGCCAAAATCTGGATTCGTACGCTCCCCCCATGGACTAGTGGACCAATGAACACCTGACATATGTGTTAATCCTTGATCCAAAATAATTTGTGACAGTCTATCGCTCTTTCATAAGAATTCACTCCCAAACGGACAGAGACACCTACACTACCAGGAAATTAAGCCTTTTCCAGATCCCAACCTACACTTCCCCAAGGCCAAATCCACCATCCCAACACTGTGATCCAAAGGACATTTACAAACGAACAGCATCTCACCAAAGCGCTGGTGCGTTTGGGGATCCAGGCAGAGAGGCAGAAGTCGTTCCTGGGAAATAGCTCGCTGGATTTTAGGCACCCGGGGCGCCACAACTGTCCCCCGCGGCTCGGAGCGCGGCCGGGGGAGGCGCAGGCATAGCGCTGGCTCTTCGCCCCGCGCCGCTCGTCGCGCCCAGACTTGACGGGCGCAGGGCCTGCGAACGCCTGCACCCGCGCGGACGAGCGCCGAGCCGCAGCCGCTTACCTAATTGGTCTGCGTGCGCGCTGCCTGCGCCGGGGC